GAAGCATTTGTAACAGTTATATAATGAATAATTAATAGCATCTGCAAGTTATGAATATATTAACATTTTTAACTAAATTTTTCATATTAATATCCAATTATCTTGATGTAGTTTACATTAAATTAAATATGCATTTATTGTGTAATTAATGTACAGTATAAAAAATCAGTATCGTACATTACAATTAAGTGTAGTTAGCGTTACTTAAACGAAGAGGAATTATAAATGATTATATCTAGAGTATGGTTTAAAACTTAACATTCGATAAAGTGGCTTAAATTAGCTATTATTTTAATTTATGAATCGTATTTATTGCTGCAGAGGCAGTTAAGGCGACAGTCTAACGCACTGGGGAATCCGGAATCGGGAAAAGACCAGGAATTCTTCATGGGTTGTCTACTTCAGATATGTTGGTCTACTCTATTGTGTCTCAGACATGTCGGGTCATCTGGCTGCCCCATTCTGGCCTGGTCGAATACACGATTAGCTTGAAGAAAAGGTCCTCTTAGTGCCCACAGGGAGGAAATAGTCAAAAGAAAGTATTGCATCTCTCTGGGTAATTATTTAAAGATTTTAAACTAGGCATGTACAGTATAAACGATAGCGTTATGGATTATATATGGGTTAGCCCAAAAGTCAGCTAACCGACATATATTAAGTTAAAATTTGTTCAGAATATAAAGGTTTGGTGGTTTATCTGGTTACCACAACGCGACACGTGGGCGATCTGCCGAGGGGAAAGCCTCCCAAGTGAACTTTCTGTAAGCTCCTATTTGGATATTACAAACGTGATATAAATTCGAAAAACTCCATATGACAGCCGTTGGCGAAGCGCGAACCCGCAACCGACTACCAACGTTAATTGGTTTAATTCATTGGGCCACTGATGACTTCCAGGAGGTAATGAATATAATTATGCTAAATGTAAATATTCGTGATCTAATCACTATCGATGAAGAAACTGAATCACAATTATAACATTTATCTGTTTCAAGTCCGTTTTAACTATTCTTAAAATATATTTCTGGCTTTCCCCCACTTACCATATTTAGTTCTTTCCTTTTTCCATAAATATCATGGATTCGGCAGGGCCCATAAGAGAGACGAACTGGTGATGAGAGACTTGGCCCAACATACCCGGGACGAAGTACTCATGAAAAATTCCTGAAGTTGTTCACAAATTCCATCCCAAGTCATCCATATTCAATGGCCCAATAATCATCTAACTGACGCCCTATACGGGCGCCAGTTAGATGATTATTGGGCCATTTTTTGCATTAATTTGAATTATAATTAACATACTATATATATAAGTATATATAATATGCAATCAGTAAATATCAATTACAAATCATATATTTTTTAAAATTTTTGTTAAATTTAATTATTTATTTTCTCCATTTAATGATAATCCAAAATGTATTATTTTTAAAATTTAATTAAATTAAAATGAATCGGCAATAGTGAGAAAACCGCAACTTTCGAACGTTGCCATTTCTCACGAAACAAAATTTTGCTAATTTACATATTAAAAACATTAACATTTTAACAATTTTTTGTATGTATAAATATAAATTATTTCTATAAAATTATAACTAAAAATTAATACAAGATCATACTTTAATTTAATAAAATCAAACATTTATGATGTTATTTTAATATTACCTTTAGGTAATAATTTTTGAATTTATGGTAATTTCCTTATAATTAAAATACCTTTTATAAAGATTATCAATAATGCTCGATTTATTATAAATTTCTACAAATGTTTCCTTTGATTTATTCATGAATAATTACATATTATTGCATTGATAAAGCTATATGATTATCTCGCTCGATTGCCAAATACCTAACTAATTATCTTAGTAAACTAATACTAACTTCATTTATCTTCTGGAATCAAACTTTATTTGGCATTATAATTAGAAATTTATCAATTTTATTATAAATTCTTCTACTAAATGAACAATATTTAAGGATTAATCTATAAATATTTTTATATTTGAAATTAATACTTTTTTTTATTTTTTGATATTTTTTAAGTAATGAATTGAATTGGCAACACTGACAAATACTGAAAAGTTTTAAATTTCAAAGTTCAATTGGCAACATTGTTACAAGGTTTATACCTTTTATATTACAAATGTTACGATAACTTACAAAATTATAATATTAATATAATTTGCATATTATAAATTTGATTATTTAAGAAAATTATTTTTAAAGATAATTTATTCGTTATATTTTATATTGAGAAATTACCTGGCAACATATTTACAAAATCGCAAATCAAACGTTGCCAATCTTTTCTAAAACATAATTTTGATAACATATATATTATATATAGAAAACATTAAAATTTATTTATTTTTTTCTAGTTAAACATGAAATTATGTTTATAAAAATGGCTAAAGAATTAATATAAAATTATATTACAAATACCATATGTTTAGATTAGATCGATTTTTATCTAGCTGTAAATATATATAATCCATATAAAAATATAAACACACCTTATAATAATAAATAAAATTTTTCTGTGTTTGACAAACATGGAAACAACAATTTTATTTATAACGTTACTAAGGAGTATTGTTCACGTGATGAGAAAATTGATCTCCTCTTCAAGAATTTCTATTAAGATTCCTCGACAATAGTCTAAATATAAATTTCTCAGCTCATTTAATTTTTAAAATAGAATTTTAACTAGCTAATTAAAGTATAAAATATATTCTAAGAAGCTCTCCTGGTGTTTTATACTTATTCATTATGTTTAAAGCCTTTAAATGGCGGTAAAATTGTTAATTTCATAAACTTTACACTTAATAACAGGAACATGTATGCGCTAAAAATATGTAATGAATAACGTGATAGCATAATTAATCATTTGAATGACTCGTTATAGCATAGGAGATAAGTTATACCTCTTATTTCCTTATCAAGAGACATCATCGATAGCTGAAATTGCATCGAAGATGAGCTTTCTCTTAATAAGAAACCGGTTAATAAAACTAATTAATTATTCCATTAATAATTAATGTCGTGAAGGAAATTTTTGGCAAACATGTTCACTTCGTTAGAAACGAATTTTGAAGAAAATTAAGCTATAATTATAACTCCTTATATAAAATGAAAACAAGTTGTGTTTGCCAACTCAAAATGATTAACGATTCACTTCTCTTAATTAAATAAAAACATAAATTTCTCATAAGTCCCTACGTCAATGATGTGGCCATATTGATTCTCGTTGTCCAATCGCTATATTATCCTCTCGTTTCTTTTTTCTTTTCTTTTTTTTCAAAATTCAATTTTGAATCTGCATACATTTTCTAATCGTTATATTTTCTTTTATTTGTCATAAAATATTTGAATTTTTAAAAAATATTTTTGAAGCTTTATTTATATATATAAATTTATTACGTGCGCTCGATTTTGATTGATGATTTAAGATGCAGGAATATCATATCTTTAATTAACAAGAGAAAAACGACTTGAATTAATTTTTAACATTTTAAAATTATTATAAATTATTAATTTACGTTTATTCTTATAACAAAAATATTTTAAATAAATCTATAAGGTGTTAGATAGTGAAGTGAATGTTTAAATATAACAGTTTTTTAACTATTCTCATGCTTTAAAAACTTATAATTTTAAAGTTGTCACTTATATTTAGTAATTCTACACCCGAGAAGAAAGAATATTTTATATTTTCGTCATTATAAGAAAAAATCATTTTTCTGAACTGACATTCTTTTAACCATAGGCGTTTCCTATGAGAAAACATCATCTACTTTAATACCAAAAAAAGTATCGCTACAAATCTTTCTAGCAACAACTTTTAAAGTATTGATATCTTGTTTTTAAAATGCTCTGCTTGAAAGATCTTTTATTTTTGTATTAAAATTTAAAGAAATCCCTCTACAGATTAAATAAAAATTGTATAATCTGCATTTAATTAATTATTCGCGAAAGAATTGATCTTCGAAGTCTAAAACATTATTCTAATATTTCTTTTTTTAAAAATAATAATAAAAAAGTAATGCTGACATTTTGACTCGATTGTTTACATTTTAAAATAAATGTTTGGAAAGCTTGCTGATTGTTCGCTATTTTTAGAATTTTTGTGTGATTTAAGATGTAAGCAACTGTTCGCATTCGAGAAAACACAAATATCTTAAGATGGGAATTTTTCAACAACTTAAAATAATATATTATAATTTCTTTCTTTTAACTTTATTTTTATTATTGTTATTATAATTTGACCTTAAAATTTTTATGCAAATTTGTTATAAAAATTCAGTACAATGTCGTTTATTTATTCTTTGCTTGCACTGCTTGTCCCCATTGAGGGTCAGACGCTCTTAATTATAATTAATAGGGTTTGACCCTCAAGCTAACTAACTATAATTAGTCATATAGGGTAAATATTATTCGTTAATTAATTAATTAAAATTAATATATTTATTTAAAATTTAAAATATTATCTTCTAAACATCTAATTTTTTACAGTACAGTTAAAGTATGGTGAATAAATTCTGTAGATTTATTACCTCAGTTACAGGATAAGAAGAGCAATTTAGAACAAATATAAATTAGTTTGACTAATTAATATTTTGGCATTAAATATAAATTATTAATTTAATTAACCGTTAAAAATTTTATATTATAATGCCATAAAAATGTTGTTTAAGCTCGATTATCGAGATAAACATCCTTGCCAGTTCTCGATATCACGCTGCGATATGCACAGCATGTAACCCAGCAGTCAAATTCTAAAAATGACTTTGCACTTTGCTATACTGTTTCCTAACTGCTGTTGAAGTTATGAACAATTACCGCTTCATTTATTCCTCTTAGATTAATTGGAGACATGTGTATGCCACTTACCAGTATACAAACTTCATTCGGAGTCTTATAGAACTATTACGAATCATTAAAAATATAATATATAACAGTTAAAGTGATTAATTTTTTAATAAATATATTTTTAATTACAGAATTATCAAAGGGAATTTACAAAATAGAAAAAAGAATCTGGAAAGAGGTAAAAAGAAAAACTGGATCTCACCGGTTTTTGACATATTGAATTTGGTTTCAAGTAACGAAACTCTGAAATGGAAAACCGTAGGCAATATCAGCGGACATATAGTCAATTTAGAAACAATTGTATGGTTAAGTGAAAGTACAACGGGTCCTTCGCCCGTAGCTAGGTATAGATATAGAATCGTTACCGGTTACGCTCCGCCATTCGTTAAACAGTCCACCAGGATAGAAAATGGTAGCTGTTTACAAGGAGTGCCTTGCCTTCACGTAAACACAAAAGATAAAGAAGAAATTGTTAAGATATTTGCCGATTTCTCTGCAGGAAGAAAGAAAAGTAACGAATACAATGTAACTTGTTGTGCTGGGATTGCCATTGATCTGCTAACTTCGATTTCCCGTGATCTTTTTTTCGATTATGACTTGTATGCTGTGGCTGATGGCTTTTTTGGTACTTATAGAAGTAAGATGTGGAATGGTATTACTGCAGATTTGATCAGTGGAGCTGCACACCTGACATTTTCGGCATATAGTATGACTAGTGAACGATCTTCTGTTGTCGATTATTCCGTCCCTTATTTTCATTCTGGTGTTTCTTGTCTAACCTACACTAAACAGAATGATGTGCCGTTATCTGCCTTTCTAATTCCTTTTAGTGTTCAGTTGTGGATTGCTATATTTGCTAGTCTCACTACTACAGCTTTAGCAGCAGCACTCTACGAATGGTTCAGTCCTTTTGGATTAAATCCGTGGGGAAGACAAAGAACTAAAAACTTTACTATCGCTTCTGCCTTGTGGGTGATGTGGTCATTGTTATTCAGTCATCTGGTTGCCTTCAAAGCTCCAAAATCTTGGCCAAATAAGGTGCTGATTAATCTCTGGGGATGTTTTAGTGTTATCTTCCTGGCCAGCTATACTGCCAACATCGCTGCATTGTTTGCTGGTATTTTTTCTCAAGTACGTGTCGACGATTTCCATGATGCTATAGTAAGTACTCCTTCTTATATATTTATTTTTTGAAATTAATGATCTAGATAATAAAAAAAAATTGTTTTAAATTTGTAAAAATATTTTAAAAAGTATTATTATCCAAGAGAAAAATCTTTAAAGCCAGTGTAAACAACTTTAAAAAGAAGACTCTCGTGAAGCTACATTTTCCAAAAAAACAAAAAGAAAAAAATATAAAGCTGTTTGTACACTCTTCTAATTGCGAACAACAAAAAAATAATTGTTTTTACTGTCTTCAATAAATAACTTGCAAAGTAAATAATTTATCCTCAACAAAAAAGTATAAGAGAAAAAATATTAAAATAATTTTGATAGAGAACGTAATAACCTCTTGAGAAACTACACATAAACGGAATTGAAATCAATTCTTAAGCAAAAAACAAAAAATGATAATGTAAACAGATCGAATTATAAAACAAAATAAACTACCAATCATGTAAAATTTAAGTTAATTCTCGCGAGAATTTATTATAATTCATTTGGTTTATCACAGCTTCTATCGCAAAAGACGGGGACCGCTAAAGGAAGCTCTGCTGAAAGCTTCGTACACACAGAGAATTCCCAATTGTGGAAACACATACAGAACTACGGAGTCGATAATCTGGAAGATGGTCTACAGAAACTGCGGTAAGTCACTTTCAATTATCGGAGAACAAGGCTTTCTACTCACTATTCCCTTAGACAATAATCTGACCCAAAGTGGTCATTGTTTAAACAAGCTCAATTGCATTACTCTTATTTTCTTCAAAGTATGAAGCCGGCGGAACTCTTGTTATGTTCGAGTACTGTATACTAAATTCTTTTTCTTTTGTCATTGAAAAAAAAAAATGAGCGTTACAACTTTGGTTTGTTTCTCAATCATTTTAAAAATTTAAAGAAAGAAATATTTTCAAAGAAACGAAAGATAAATCCGAATGTTTTAAAAAATCAATTTTTATTGACGTTACCAACCGCTAGGCGGCTTTAAAGATTTGAATTTATTTTAAAATAATTTTTTTTTTAATTCTGATTTCTCGACACTAGAGGGACTTTAGTCGAGAGCCGTACATGTGGTTTTTTTTTTTTTTTTTAGTAATTATAACGGTTTAATAACGTTCTTCAATTTAAGTATTTGTAAATCAATTTACTTGGAAAGGGTACAGTTAATTGCGGTTTGTTGTTGTTTGATAAATGTTAAATCATTAAACGGATAATAGAAACAAAATTAATTGTTATAAAGGCGGTTTAATTAGTTAAGGTAATTAGATAAAATATCGAAGTTTATAATGTAAATTACGAAATTTATTTCTTTAAAATGTTTTTGAATATAATTATTATTATTTTCTTGACTTTTTTAAATACAGAATTGATCCAAACAAACCTACAGACTCATTAAAGATCTCATTAATGATAAAATTAAAGTGCTGTAAATGTTTATACTGCTTACAATTCCAATTTGGCTGTGTTTAATTAGCCAGACTATAGGAAACTTTTGTGTTAAACATTACATATCTAACACTAAATTTTCGTATAAAATTAATAGAGTGTTTTAACTGTTTGTATAGTGTATTGTATTGTATATGGTATTAAATATAGTTTACTGTATAAAGTTGTATTAATGTATTACTGTAAGAATTACTGCATAAAGTATATTTTATACTTTACAGTAAACACTATACAGTATACTTTTTGTAGAAGTAGGCTATAGTGATACTGTATACTGTTATATGGGTTTTACGGTATAGTTCTGCTAAATAATAAAAATATATATTCAGTTTATATAGAAATTATATAAGGATTTTTTCTTTTAAACTTTCATAAAAATTATAGTATGTTTATAAAATCAAACTTCGATTTAGCGCCTTTCTACATACCGCTACTCCCATAGTGTCAATGAATACTTCTGTACAGATCTTCATAAATAATAAATATAGAACCGTAGAGTAGCTATAAATAACCAAATGCACGAATCTGCATTGCAAATTACTTCGTTATTACCAAATAACTTTTCAAATTCCCAAACCCAATCTTATACGTAAGCCTGTTTACTCTATATAATTATTATTGCTTGAGGTAACTCAGTTTAATACCATCGATTTAGTGACAATTTCGAAAGCGAACAAATGGCGCTAAATCGAAGCTTGAGAGTATATATTTATATATACACTATGTTTTAAGTTTTATAAAACAATTTAATTTTAAAATATTAAAATAATAAATATTATAATTAACGGAGTTGATGTAAGTAATTTATAAGTTTATTTTATTTTAAATAATTATAAAATAAACATTTGAAGGAATTTATACTTTAAATTGCACGTTTCTTGATTTGTTCACACTAATAAATCAGGAATTTAATGATAAAGTATGTGTTATATTATGTATGTATAAGTTAACACTTTTAGGAATATTATTCAGACCCTAAGACCTTTTCATAAAGTATAATACATTCGAACCTCTAATAACGGCCACCTCCCAACAACGTCTACTTCTAAACAACAACCATTTCTTCAGGAACTTTGTTTTCGAGCAAAAAAAAAATGCTCAGAAAATTATCTGGAAACAACCGCCATTTTCTTATGTTACCGTTAGTGGCCGTTGTTCAGAGTTTATAAGTTCAAATTTAATTTTAATATATAAATCATATTTATTTAATGAAAATACAGAGATCTGGAAAAAGAAAGTATATTTTGGCTTTAAGATTGGAGTCGAACTCATATTACAGCATTCGATGTGTTAACGAAGGATGTGGTCCCAAGCAGTGTTACAGAGCATTATTATTATTATAGATTTTGTGGATTATCGATCAAAAATACGTATGAATTATTCTTGTAGATTTCCGTTGAAAAGAACACCTTTAATTTCTAGAAAAACTTGTTCAATTTAACTGAAAATAACATTTTCGGTCATCTTTTAATGGCCTTCTTCACTAGTAGAACATCTAAGAGAACAATATTTTGAAAATGACGTGTCAGCTTATGTAGAAAATATTGAAGTCTATGTAATACAATAGTACCCTGTAATGTATTGTACAATAATACAGTACATCATACAAACAGCTTTAATTGCCTGTAAGATGGAACATAATTTAGGCAGTTTACGTAAAGACAGTTTTGATGAAAAGTGTTATTTTCTTCTTAAGTACTTTTCGCAGTAAAATACAGTACTGAAAAATAATGCGAATTCTCGTTACGTTTCTCGCGTAGTTTTGTCATAAACGTTATTTTGTCCATTGTATTCGGGTTTGAGAATTCTGTTCAAACGTTCGATCTGTTTTCTTTCTGTTCTGTTTGTAAAATTATAGTTATACTAGCAGGTAGGCCCGGCGTTGCTCGGGCAAAAATAACGATAACTAAGATTAGGGTTATTACGTTACAGTCAACCTTACCCGTTTTCACAGAATGCAAGAATTGGGTCCCCTTGTTTCCAGACTAATTAGAGAATTTTTAGATGGTTCTAAAAATATGTTCGATTTCCCGCAAAAACGAAAAAACTGCATCTGCGTCTTGCACGTCGCTTTCTCTTAACACTTCCATTGTTACTTAAAACTTCCATTGTTGATGGAAGTGTTAAGCCTTAATCCTGTCCCTCTCCCCTGTGGGGAGGAATTTTGAAAAATCCCTTCTTAGTGTGTGTTCTCGTAACGTACCCTAACTGTGTACCAAATTTCAACTTTCAACTCCTAACCGTTTGGGCTCGTATCCATAATGTATATAGAAGCCATAATCCTGTCTTTCTCCCCGGGGGAAAATTTCGAAAAATCCCTTCTTAGTGTGCGCTTTCGTGACGTACCTTAATTGTGTACCAAATTTCAGCTTTCAACTCCTAACCGTTTGGGCTCTGCGCTTATTATTATTATCATTATTATCCCGTCTCGATTATATATTAGATATTAGATTTAAATTATTAAAGTTTTTTATGCCTCAAGAAGGACGTTTGTGGCTTGAAATGGCCAAAACATTGAAGATACGAACCTCGACTTTTTACACAAGGCAAGTAGCGAGACGTTTGGAAAATGGTGACTGACATTGCGAACGGAAAAAAGGCCCACCAGTGGCCGGATGAATAAAACCACTGACCACTGGTAGTTGGTCGTGGGTTTGCGTCTGGCCAACGGGCTGACCACGTGGAGTTTTCAGGGTTTGCTTCACGTTTGTAACACCAAACGGGATTATCTTCCTATAGAAAATCGTCCCGGAAAGCCTCTTCCTCGGCAGATCAACCACGTGACGCGTTTCCGTATACAAACAAACAAGTTAAAGTAAAAGGTAATATCTTTGGATTATCAGTTTTCCAGGCTTGTCTGCTAAACAAAAATAGTTCGGCCTGAATCAAATGATTTTTGGCGGCGGGATAAACATGCAAATAACGCAGTTTTGTTCTCTATCCTGTGGACAGTACAGACAACTTGCATACGCAACTCGAATGTACGTATTGCACATGTGCGTTTCGCCGGCGCCATGCTTGTGATGTTTCCGTTCCATTTTAACCTCGCTTGATACATGACAGAATAACCAAACTTTAAATGGGGAAAAACATAAACTTTGAGTGGTTTACCTAATGAAGCGATACTGGGTGAGTAAATTTTAAAACAGAATAAAACAAATTCTGTTTTAAAATTCGACAATTATTACACAGCACTTAGAAGTGATGTTATGCAGTGGTTAATAAAACTATTACAAAATGTCAGGACAGCGATACCACGACCAAGTGTTATAGTTTGTTTTAAAATGTACTTAAATTTCCCTTGCTAGGAAAGGTATGTTCTGAAGAACTCTTTACCAAAATCATTGGATCAATCCAGCTATTTGCTACAAAATTGAGGTTTGTATGCTTTTGTGTGGTTAAGAGTTAAAAATGGGGTTATTAAGACGAGGTATCACCATATTTTATTTTCGGCCATGAACTACGATCCTCTAAGAATCTTCATATCGATCAACTCCACTGTGCATTACAATTTTACTTCTGTATCAGTTGTCATCTTGACTAGTAAGAATTGTTAAATAACCTGGTAAAAATTCCCGCAACGAGTTGCGTATCTTTCCCGGCCGTTGAGATCTTAATTAAAAAAAATAAAATTTATATTATTAAACATAAATAAATTTGTGTGTGGTGTCATTATTTATGAGATTTTTGTCATAAAAAGTTTTTTATATTTTTAGTTGTTATAAAATGGCTTTAACTACCAAAATTTTATAATATTGATCCTCCTAATATACAAGCCTCCCTGCAAAATTTCAAAAATTTTCCACAAAAATCATAGAAATTATTAGACTTCAAAATTGGGTGAACAAAATCGTGCCCAATCTATACAAACAGAAAAACCCTCGAAATTTCTTTTGCATTTCTCGACGTTTCAAGGTCTCCTGAGTCAAAAAATGTAAAAATATTTCCATTATTTCCATCTGTTATATATAACAGAGCCGAGAAAGTAAAATGCATGTTTTGCCATACACACGTGATAAATGTTCAAAAGCAAGCCAAACTATATACAGTATACGCCTCCACGAACAGTACGGCACAAATATGGCGCAGGAGGTGGAGCGATGTCGATTTGGTCACGTGAGATGATGTTCATGCAAATTCTCTATAGTAGATATGCCCGATGTTTCCCGGACGAAAATTAATAAGAGCAAATATTAAAATGA